GGTTGGGGCGGGACCGGATACACCCCTCTTATCAGTTACATACACATATTTACGGTTGGGGCGGGACCGGATACACCCCTCTTATCAGTTACACACACACATATATTTACGGTTTGGGCGGGACCGGATACACCCCTCTTATCAGTTACACACACATATTTACAGTTTGGGCGGGACCGGATACACCCCTCTTATCAGTCACACACATATTTACGGTTGGGGCGGGACCGGATACACCCCTCTTATCAGTTACATACACATATTTACGGTTTGGGCGGGACCGGATACACCCCTCTTATCAGTTACATACACACATATTTACGGTTGGGGCGGGACCGGATACACCCCTCTTATCAGTTACATACACACATATTTACGGTTGGGGCGGGACCGGATACACCCCTCTTATTAGTTACATACACATATTTACGGTTTGGGCGGGACCGGATACACCCCTCTTATCAGTTACATACACATATTTACGGTTTGGGCGGGACCGGATACACCCCTCATGACAACGCTGAAGTTAGCTTTTGATTTGGCAGTTTAGGGGAAAGTTAAAATGGGGAACTTAAATGAAAGTTAACTTACGTTGCTGAGCAACCGATTCTCCGTTTTTTGCACCTCTTACTGCTGTGAACGCTGTTAGGCATTTTAGGCAAAGTCTTAATGCTGTCTGAAACACTTACAGATTTAAAAAACTTTAAATTTATTTGTGGAAAATGAAAAAAGGGTGATTTGTCTGCTTTTTTGCATGTAGACCACATTAGACCAGGTCCAAGTTCAAAACCACTATACCTAGAGCTCTCAAATGTGGACTAGATTGTCCCAGAGTGGCTAAAGTTTCCTTCAAACATAGTGTCAGATTTGTAAAACCTTTATTCTATTTGTGAAAATGAAAAAAGGGTCATTATTCAATGCTTTTTTGACACCAAGGGGCCTGGCCTTACAGCGTTTCGACAACTCTGCCTCTGATTGGTTAGTCCGTCTTTCCTCCTCTGATTAAACATGTTCAGAGCTGTTTGGTGTTATTATGGGATTAGGGTTAGCCAACCAGAGTCAGAGTAGGGGGCAGGACATAAGGCAAAACCTGTGTTCTTCAAATGATATTTTGCTGACCTGTAGAACATTAACTGACTTGTAGATTGGTGGAGAAACAGAGAATAGGAGGTGGAGAAACAGAGACGGAGAGGTGGAGAAACAGAGATAGAGAGGGGGAGAAACAGAATAGGAGGTGGAGAAACAGAGATAGAGAGGGGGAGAAACACAGAATAGGAGGTGGAGAAACAGAGACGGAGAGGTGGAGAAACACAGAATAGGAGGTGGAGAAACAGAGACGGAGAGGTGGAGAAACAGAGACGGAGAGGTGGAGAAACGGAGAGGTGGAGAAACAGACAGAAAGATGGAGAAACACAGAAAAGGAGGTGGAGAAACGGAGACGGAGAGGTGGAGAAACAGGGACAGAAAGATGGAGAAACACAGAATAGGAGGTGGAGAAACAGAGACGGAGAGGTGGAGAAACAGAGATAGAGAGGGGGAGAAACAGAATAGGAGGTGGAGAAACAGAGATAGAGGGGGAGAAACACAGAATAGGAGGTGGAGAAACAGAGACGGAGAGGTGGAGAAACAGAGATAGAGAGGGGGAGAAACAGAATAGGAGGTGGAGAAACAGAGATAGAGAGGGGGAGAAACACAGAATAGGAGGTGGAGAAACAGAGACGGAGAGGTGGAGAAACACAGAATAGGAGGTGGAGAAACAGAGACGGAGAGGTGGAGAAACAGAGACGGAGAGGTGGAGAAACGGAGAGGTGGAGAAACAGACAGAAAGATGGAGAAACACAGAAAAGGAGGTGGAGAAACGGAGACGGAGAGGTGGAGAAACAGGGACAGAAAGATGGAGAAACACAGAATAGGAGGTGGAGAAACAGAGATAGAGAAGGGGAGAAACACAGAATAGGAGGTGGAGAAACAGACACAGAGGTGGAGAAACACAGAATAGGAGGTGGAGAAACAGAGACGGAGAGGTGGAGAAACAGAGATAGAGAGGGGGAGAAACACAGAATAGGAGGTGGAGAAACAGAGATAGAGAGGGGGAGAAACACAGAATAGGAGGTGGAGAAACAGAGATAGAGAAGGGGAGAAACACAGAATAGGAGGTGGAGAAACAGAGACGGAGAGGTGGAGAAACACAGAATAGGAGGTGGAGAAACAGAGACGGAGAGGTGGAGAAACAGAGATAGAGAGGGGGAGAAACACAGAATAGGAGGTGGAGAAACAGAGATAGAGGGGGGAGAAACACAGAATAGGAGGTGGAGAAACAGAGATAGAGAAGGGGAGAAACACAGAATAGGAGGTGGAGAAACAGAGACGGAGAGGTGGAGAAACACAGAATAGGAGGTGGAGAAACAGAGACGGAGAGGTGGAGAAACAGAGACAGAAAGATGGAGAAACACAGAATAGGAAGTGGAGAAACAGAGACGGAGAGGTGGAGTAACGGAGAGGTGGAGAAACAGGGACAGAAAGATGGAGAAACACAGAATAGGAGGTGGAGAAACAGAGATAGAGAAGGGGAGAAACACAGAATAGGAGGTGGAGAAACAGAGACGGAGAGGTGGAGAAACACAGAATAGGAGGTGGAGAAACAGAGACGGAGAGGTGGAGAAACAGAGATAGAGAGGGGGAGAAACACAGAATAGGAGGTGGAGAAACAGAGATAGAGGGGGGAGAAACACAGAATAGGAGGTGGAGAAACAGAGATAGAGAGGGGGAGAAACAGAGAATAGGAGGTGGAGAAACAGAGATGGAGAGGTGGAGAAACAGAGAATAGGATGTGGAGAAACAGAGACGGAGAGGTGGAGAAAAAGAGACAGAAAGATGGAGAAACACAGAATAGGAGGTGGAGAAACAGAGACAGAAAGATGGAGAAACACAGAATAGGAGGTGGAGAAACAGAGACGGAGAGGTGGAGAAACAGAGATAGAGAGGGGGAGAAACACAGAATAGGAGGTGGAGAAACAGAGACGGAGAGGTGGAGAAACAGAGATAGAGAGGGGGAGAAACACAGAATAGGAGGTGGAGAAACAGAGACGGAGAGGTGGAGAAACAGAGATAGAGAGGTGGAGAAACAGGGACACAAAGATGGAGAAACACAGAATAGGAGGTGGAGAAACAGAGATAGAGAAGGGGAGAAACACAGAATAGGAGGTGGAGAAACAGAGACACAGAGGTGGAGAAACACAGAATAGGAGGTGGAGAAACAGAGACGGAGAGGTGGAGAAACAGAGATAGAGAGGGGGAGAAACACAGAATAGGAGGTGGAGAAACAGAGATAGAGAGGGGGCGAAACAGAGAATAGGAGGTGGAGAAACAGAGACGGAGAGGTGGAGAAACGGAGACGGAGAGGTGGAGAAACAGACAGAAAGATGGAGAAACACAGAAAAGGAGGTGGAGAAACGGACACGGAGAGGTGGAGAAACAGGGACAGAGAGGTGGAGAAACACAGAATAGGAGGTGGAGAAACAGAGATAGAGAGGTGGAGAAACACAGAATAGGAGGTGGAGAAACAGAGATAGAGAAGGGGAGAAACACAGAATAGGAGGTGGAGAAACAGAGACGGAGAGGTGGAGAAACACAGAAAAGGAGGTGGAGAAACGGAGACGGAGAGGTGGAGAAACAGGGACAGAAAGATGGAGAAACACAGAATAGGAGGTGGAGAAACAGAGATAGAGAAGGGGAGAAACACAGAATAGGAGGTGGAGAAACAGAGACGGAGAGGTGGAGAAACACAGAATAGGAGGTGGAGAAACAGAGACGGAGAGGTGGAGAAACAGAGATAGAGAGGGGGAGAAACACAGAAAAGGAGGTGGAGAAACAGAGATAGAGAGGGGGAGAAACAGAGAATAGGAGGTGGAGAAACAGAGACGGAGAGGTGGAGAAACACAGAATAGGAGGTGGAGAAACAGAGACGGAGAGGTGGAGAAACGGAGACGGAGAGGTGGAGAAACAGACAGAAAGATGGAGAAACACAGAAAAGGAGGTGGAGAAACGGACACGGAGAGGTGGAGAAACAGGGACAGAAAGATGGAGAAACACAGAATAGGAGGTGGAGAAACCGAGACGGAGAGGTGGAGAAACACAGAATAGGAAGTGGAGAAACAGAGACGGAGAGGTGGAGAAACAGAGACGGAGAGGTGGAGAAACGGAGATGGAGAGGTGGAGAAACACAGAATAGGAGGTAGAGAAACAGAGATGGAGAGGTGGAGAAACAGAGACACAGAGGTGGAGAAACAGAGACAGAAAGGTGGAGAAACAGAGACGGAGAGGTGGAGAAACGGAGACGGAGAGGTGGAGAAACAGAGACAGAAAGATGGAGAAACACAGAATAGGAGGTGGAGAAACAGAGATGGAGAGGTGGAGAAACAGAGACACAGAGGTGGAGAAACAGAGACAGACGTGGAGAAACAGAGAATAGGAGGTGGAGAAACATAGAATAGGAGGTGGAGAAACAGAGACAGAAAGGTGGAGAAACAGAGACAGAGGTGGAGAGACAGAGAAGTGGAGAAACAGAGACACAGAGGTGGAGAGATAGAGAGGTGGAGAAACAGAGACACAGGTGGAGAAACAGAGACAGAAAGGTGGAGAAACAGAGACACAGAGGTGGAGAAACAGAGACGGAGAGGTGGAGAAACAGAGACAGAAAGGTGGAGAAACAGAGACACAGAGGTGGAGAAACAGAGACAGACGTGGAGAAACAGAGAATAGGAGGTGGAGAAACAGAGACAGACGTGGAGAAACAGAGAATAGGAGGTGGAGAAACAGAGACAGAGAGGTGGAGCACTGAGGTCGAGCTGCAGAGAGAGGGAGGGGTGGTGCAGTTGGAGAGAGAGCTGCTTTAATCCTCTGCCTATAAAGCTGGCAGCAGACGGAGGCAGCCTCAGTGTGAAGGATGGGAGATGCAGCGCTGCTCCTCCACCCTGACGACAGATGGGGCATCGCTGGCTCTGAGCAGCAGCAGCACCCGGCAGGATGAGCGGTCCTCTCGCCCTCTGCTGCCTCCTCCTCTCCGCCCTCAGCCTCCGCCTGACCTCCGGTAAGAGCTCCGTCAGTGAGTCTGTGCGAGCGAGGTGTTGGTGCTGTCTGCATGCTGCTGATACTCAGAGAGAGCACTGACTGTCACATCCTGCTGTCTGCATAAAATCTCATCACGTCAGTTTCAAACTGGTTGTTGGCACTGGAAGATGTTTTCTCCTGTTTTAGGAAAGTAAATACGAGGATGTTAAAAGCTGAGCTCATTGTGCTGTAGTTTCATTTCAGACACACAGATCAGTCAGAGACAAAGGGAAACTTAAACAAGGACAGAAATATGGAGGAGAGCCACGGCGATTAAAACACCTTTGTTCCAGTGATTCCAAAAACAGGAGGAGCTCCGTGTGTCTGCAGTTAAAACCATCTGGATCACATTTATCTATTAGCTCAGTTAGTGTATGTGGGAGTGTTTCTAAATGGCCATATGCATAATTGCATATTTTATTTATTTGGAAAAGTACCACTTACTAGCTTTCGCCAGGTCTTTCAAGCTCATCTCATGGTCTTCATCTGCTCAGCTGCCTTTTTAAAACAGACGTGCTGCACACGGTAAGGATGATGAAGCTGAAGCCGGTCTTAGATCTCTGCAAGTGACCAAAGCTGTGTCCACTGCACTTCATGGAAACTTGAAGGCAACATGATGCTCAGAGATCCTTTGTGTTCATATTAGATAATTTCCTCACGTTCAGTGCCAAGGCATGAAGCGAGGAGGAAGGTGAGGGTGTGGAGGTCGAGTTGGAGGATGGACGGATTTCTCGCCCGACTCCAAACGTTTAACCGTAGTTATGAGCCAAACTAACTATAGTTTATTTTCCATAGCCACCATCTTTCAAATACTGTAAACGTTGAGGAAGAAATGTTTTTTATGTTAAAGACATTAAAAACCTTTTCAATAAACGTAACCCAGGGTTTTACAGAATCATCCAACTTCATTCTTATCCCAGCTCGTCACATCTGCACACTTGAAACTGTGAAATGTCACAGTTTGGTTGGGTTTAGGATGGTCAGCATCGGTCTTTAACTCCCTGGGAACCCTTTAGCATTGTTTTTGCACCTGAAAAGATAAAATAACTACCTTACTTAGGCGAACTCGCCTAAGTAAGGTAGTTATTTTATCCACGTAACTTCACTAAAAAAATCAATGTGTACTTTTTGTTTCACTCTGGAAACGAACACCAGTCTCCTGGTTTAAAGTCCAGTTTCTTGTCCACTCCTCCACCCCTTTCTCAGTCCTTTCTGTTATTCATTAAACTCCTGCTGTTAGGCTGGAGGACAGTTGCCCTAAGACCCTGCACCAGGTGGATCCAGCTGTGATAAAACCACCTGGGAGCTACAGAAGCGTAAAAAGCTGGAAACATTTGATCTGGTAAATGTAAAGTCCACTAACAGGCTGTTCTCGTGTTGGTGACAGCAGAGAACTGAAACACATTCAGTATGAAGGTGCGTGCAGATGCCTCGGGGCTGCAGAGACCTGATAAGTTACCTCCTGCAGTGTGGAGGTCGTTCCTCCCAGGGATAAACAGCTCATTGTCTGACTCTGACCCATATTGCTGAAGGTAATCTGTACTTTAAAATGATTAAACTCTAGTGGAGGTTCAAACCACAAAGTGCATGGAAGCTAATCCCCAGGCAGAATTCACAGATTTTATATGATCTTGGGAGCTTCTGTCTAGATTCTGGATTATGAAAGAATCTTGGAGGGCTTTTAATTTTATTTCACTGTGTCTAAGGTTTAACCGATTAATCCACATTAAGCCACATTATTTGCTCCAGTTCGTGTTCAGCTGGGGATGTTTTGTAATTTTCTCTCTCCCTTTTAAACACGTAATGACTCTAAATATTAATTGTGTCATCTTTTAACATCCCTCTGCTTTCTGAACATTTCTTTTGACTCATCGTTACGTGTAATGGGTATTTTTATCAGCGCAGGTTTAAAAGCTTGTCCCACATTTTAACTGAAGGAACATTTCAGAAACTTCACGTATTTGTTTTCTTTTTGAAAGTGAGATGTTCAGTTGGATATGAAGTGAATATGATATGAGGATGATCACCGTCTAAACAAATGCTTCTCAGAAACAAAGTGAACACATTTACAGGTGCATCTCAACACATTAGAACCAGACTGAGAGATCAAATCATCCTGAACATTTGTAAAACAGTCAGACAGATCGTACAAACAGCACTAAACAGAATCTTTAGTCAGTAAAACAGTAAATCTTTATGTCAGTGAACATCTCAGAGCATCAGAATGACAAGTAACAACACTGCACTTTTTCTGTACAGTACATATCAGTTTCAACAGTACAGAGTTACACAGTGCAGGAGATCGGACAGGATTCACAGTTTGACTGTTTGGACTGTAATGTGTTGACAGAGCACGTCACCGTGATACAGTAAAGAAAAAGACACGAAACTGCAACAGAACAACAGGAACAATGACAAAATTAGAAACATAAATATGGGGTCAGACCATTCAACAGAGACCCATTATAATACACTGATCAACATGACATATTGATAATGAAGGAAACAGCAGACATTTGAACATAATCATTTGCATAAATGTGTCAAAGCATTTGCAGTTTGTTCAATGAGAAAAGTATTTTCCGATGTGCACACGTGACGAGATGATGATGATGTGGAGCTGAACAAGTAGTGAAAATTTCATTTGACAAATGTACCAAAGTCACTGAGAACTGTAAAGGCTCAGGTAACTCAGAAGCAGGTATGGATCAGCTGATCAGAGCTCTTCTCGGGTCGACATTTCTGTTTTAAATTCTTTATTCTAAACATCTAATACATGTTGAGATATTGGAGTTTAGCTGTGAACCGTAATCATCAAGATTAAAACAAAAATGAATCTAGAATATATGAATCACAGAGGAAAATGAACTTTTCCATGACATTGTAATGATTTGAGACGCACTGGTGTTCCCCACAGAGGGTCAGTCAAATACATTTTATTATCATTTGAATATTTCCCACCTGTTCTCACTGCACTTATCAGTATTTCTAATTGAATATGTCAGTAGTTTGTCTGGGCAGTTTGGCAGAAGTTCTCTGTTCTGTTGCTGTGGAAAGACTTCCTGATGTTCAGAGGATGAAAGCAGAAGTTTGGCAGCTTGTTAGCAGATGACAGCTGTGGCTGCCCTGAATATAGAACCGAGCCTGTGATCAAAGACGGGTTTGAACATGAGGTGATCCTCCTGTATTTCCTATTCAAAGCGGCTTTTGTTTGGCTCGTCGTCCACCATTCCTGATACGTGCAGCAGCACCAGTTGAACACTTCTTGTAGTGCTTCAACCTGCAGCTGATGTGTTAGAGTCTTTTATCTGACAGCAGGGCAGACGCTCGGCCTCAGATAGTGGGAGAAATGTACAAAGAGCAGAGCGACTGGGCCGGATCAGCCAGCTTTATCTCCTCCAGCAAAGACAATACCAGACATGGAATATCAAGCACTATACAGTGCACTGCCCTCCACAAAGGCTAAGCTGTGGAACTGTCCTTTCTATGTTTGTCACATCAAAGTAGGGCGGAAGCAGTCACAGTCCACATCCAAACTCAGCAAGCAGTGATATCACTCCCCAATATCTCGTTTCACTAACCTTAATCTCATTCCAAAATATGCTTTCCTGGGTTAAATGATTGGTGTTTACAGAGGACACCGTGAATCAGTCATCATGTGCAAGTTGTGTTTCATTTCAGTGTTATTCTGATCGTGTTAATCTCTCTGTGTGGGGAGACCGGAGCTCTCTGGATGAAAAGCTGGAGGGAGGATTAAGAGGAAAAACATGGGAAAATAATCTGCAGGCAGGCTGACGTCACGCTATGCAGGCGGGTGTTGTGGAGGTGAGGCTGACTGTGATAGCAGAGGGCACCGGAGCTCCTCCCGGCACTGCCAGGCTGCTGCTCAGCAAGGTGCCTTTGGTCCCAGTCCATGTGTGGGGCAGCCAGACCACAGTTCACCACCACACACACACTGGAGAGACCAGGTCTGGCCGGGGCTTTGTTTCAGTCCTCTACACATGTGATATTCATCTTTAAACATGTCAAATGTTATATGTCACACCTGAAGTGTAGTATTGCATATGTGAAATTCATCCGATACCTGTACGTGAAGTAATCACATGTGAAGTGATACTGAAGACATGTCAGGTATTTCATTTCATAAGTGAGGTGTTTAATAATCCATGTATGTCCATTTATCATATTTGAAACCCATTTGACAGAACACCTTTCTTTAACAATTTCAAATCAGATGTGTAAATGTAAAACTCCTTTTCCACACACAACCTCATGCTTAACAAGTGAAATGTTTCATTTGTGTGCTCCAACATGTGAAATCAATGTTTTATGTACATGTAATAAATCACATGTACCTGTATGAATCTTCACATGTCAGCGCTAATAGATGTGTTTATTACATCATATGCATGCAGCTGAATTCTTGCAGTTTGCATTAACCCATTTAATCCCCCGGTCACAGCAACATGTGGCCCTCAGCCTGCTGTGAATACTGTTGCTCCTGGGGATTAGCATACGGAGGCTGATCAGGTTCACTGTGGTGTCCACTCTCAAGGCAGCTGGCCTTAATGGACGGAGTGATTAACACATTCTGATGCTGAGCTGCTAATATAACACACAGAGTGTCACAAAGAAACGCAGCAGCAGCTTTATATTCCTGCTAAATTTAATCCCATGCTCTCAGAGGGATTGAGACCATATTAAATATTCAAGTGTCAGGAATGAAATCTGGAGCGCTGTATCCAAAAAGTCTGCACACAAATGCTGCTGCTGCTGCTGTAAACTATGTTTTTATTGCTGAAAGTTTCATTATTGTTGGACTACAGAGATAAAAGTTTACATTGAATTAAACTTGTAACAGCCAGTTTCTTTACGGTTGTCCAAGTCATCTTATTCCACCCGACAGGTTCATTTATATTGTGTATCATGTTGCAGCTCTTCCTCAGAGCTACATGACGTTTACACTGAATTAAATATTCAAAGGTTTATGGCTGCACCCTTCCATCAAATGGAAATATTCCAAATGCCTTGAGCATTAGTGTCTTGAGATTCAGTTTTGGGATCTTTGGAAACTACATGACATTAAATAAAGACAGGGGAAGCTGAATCAGAGGAATCAGTGGGGATTAATGGGCGGCTGTGGCTCAGGAGGTTGGCGGTTCAATCCCCGGCTCCTCCAGGCTGCGTGTCGAAGTGTCCTTGGACAAGATACTGAACCCCGAATTGCTCCTGGTGGCTGTTCCGCCAATGTGTGAATGTGTGTGAATGTTAGTTTCTGTCTGAGCACTTAGGCTCAGTGTGTGAATGTGAGTGAATGATGAATGCAGATGTAAAAGCACTTTGAGTGGTCAAAAAGACTAGAAAGGCGCTATGCAAATACAGAGCATTTACATTAAAGACATCAGCAGTCCAGAGCTGCAGCTCTCTTTGGGTTACGAGGGTTTTCCTTCTGTTTCCACATTACTCTATATTAGAACTATAACTGTCATTCGTACACTCTTTTTCACACCTTTATTCTTGCTCCAGGTCTCTGCAGGGGCCCAAAGCACCCACCTTAGTAGTGGTTTAGTTGCCTCCACTGAATGCATTGTGATCTTGGTTTGAGCTCCTGAGCAGAGCCTAAATCTATGGTCTGGTTAAGCTTCTGCACATTGAAAGGGCTGAGAGAGCTGCTGAAGCTCCTCTGGTTTTCATGAGGGCAGACTGTGTTGTAGCTTGTAAAGCGCTGATGTTCTGTTGACCTCCTTCTAAACAACAGAGCAGGAATAAAGCGGCTCCAGGCTGTGGGGTTATTAAGAGTGAAGCTGCTGAGTGCAGTGAAGCTTTCATACTGGATTTCTGTGTAATAAGAACATTATCTAACACCACAGTTATCTGTCAGAGCCATACAGGCCAATGTAATGCAGTTCTCTTTCTCTCTGCCAGGTTATTTAACCGTTTCCATTGAGCCCCTCCCACCTGTCGTCATCGGGGACACAGTCACACTCAAGTGCAACTTCCACACAGATGGAAACCTCCGAGAGATTGTGTGGTTTCGGGTGAGCACGCAGGTGAACTTCATGTCTCACAGTTTAGACAGCTGATCCTGTTTAGAAGACCGGTGATCTTGTGTGAGAACTGAGAACCATGAAGGTGTTCTGTAGACTTTAGACTGAGATTGTGCCAGAAGCAGATTTGTTTTCACAGAAACATGCAGACATACCCACACAGGAGGTGTTCTCCTCCACAGACCTTCAGCCACAATCAGGGCTGACAACATGCTGTTAAGCAGGTAATGTTTTGAGATCTCCAGAGCCCAGAAGGTGTCATGAAGAAAGCAACTCATGTGTGAGCATGAATTAACCATTTCTGCTCTCAGTGAATAATTTGTGCACTTTATTGGTTAATTGGCACCAATGACTAAAAAGAAGATATTTATGAAGCACAACACAACAGAAATGGATCCTCAGATTTTACTGCGAAACAGCAGAACAGCCCTCGGTATTTAGAACACATGCATTTGTCCTGCCCAATAAAAATAAAAGTGAAATGAAGTGTTTAGCACTAAACTGTAGTAAGTCAGCTGCACCCGGTGGGCTGAGTCGGCGTTGCTCCCGCTGCAGCCCAAAAAGATCTCCAGTACAAAAGAAATGTCTGTAAGAGTGCTGACACGAAACCTCCAACCGCAATGATGCTCTTTCCCCTCTCAGGTGACTGAAGGAGGCAGTGCCAAGCAGAAGATTTTCACCTATGATGCCATGTACAACACCAGCTATTCCCACATGGAGGACAAACACAGGCGGGAGGACCTGGTCTACCAGTCATCTGTGCGGTAAGACAGGCTGCTGGACATGTTGTCTTATCTTCTAATAACTCATGTCCTTTTAAAGACAGGCGTTTGGGTGGGACATTCACACCTGTAGCTCACAGTGGGGGGAGGGGGAGTGGTAGGGGGAGGTGAATTTAAGGCAAACCCAGGGGGATCTCTAATCTTCACAAGCTGAGATGTTAAAATGAAAGCTGAAGTTCAAAGCATCCAGTAATCTGTATAGTTGCACATGAACAGGCTCCCTGAAGTCCAGATGGAGGACGACGGCCTGTACGAGTGCCACGTGGGGATCTATGACAGGAGCTCCAGAGACAAAGTGATCCTATCCTCTGGCAGCATCGTCCTCACAGTCATAGGTAAGCGTTCGTTTTTTAGGTTCGCTCATGAATTTTAAAGGCCGTGTCTTTAGGGGGGGAAGTCTGAGGATCACCAGGCTCATTAGGATTCATCCTGGATCTGTTACAAAGCTCTGTCCATGCAAATACTTCACTACTGCCAAACATTTCAACCAGCCAATGGCACTAGAGGGAAAGTAAAGGGTTGATCCTCTAAAGACCATGAAAGTTCATCCAACACTAGCATAGCTAAAAACACACCTCACTGAATAACACGGTGGATCTTGTTAGCTAACCTACAGAAATGTAGAAACAACAGTTACATGCTGGATGAAGTCTTGTTGTCACAGTGAGGCTGTCAGGTTTGGACCAAAACCAACACCTGTGCTCACTGACTGATTGTAATTACCTGCGCTGTAGCAGGGTGGACGGATAAACAAAATACTTCCAGCATGAAACATCCCCTGAAACCATTCCTGTCTGAGTGCAGAATAAACTCAGCATGTCAGTCAGAGATTTACAGCTGCTGGTTGGTGTGTTTACCCCAGAGCCAGGCTAGCTGTTTGCCCCTGCTTCTAGTGTTTATGCTAAGCTAGGCTAACCATGCTCTGTTATGAACACACAGGCATGAGATCCATCTGAACATCTTAAACATATTTCCCAAAATGCATTCCTTTGATTGAAGTATTAATTTGAAATGTTCAAACTCGCAGACTTGTTACATTACTAGGTAACCCTAAAACACATACTTACATATATATATATATATATATATATATATATATATATATATATATATATATATATATATATATACACATTTATATACACACACACACACACACACACACACATACATACTTATGTTCGGTCCATGTCTGAGTGCCTCAGTCCTCTTTGTATTTTCTCTGCAGTACCTCCCAAGTCTATCTCCGTGGTGGCAGCCAATAGCCCGGCTCCTTTCAGCCGCTACGAGGCCCAGAACTTCACTCTGGTTTGCATTGTTACAGGAGCAAAGCCAGCTCCCATGGTGAGATGGAGCCTATTTACTCTTTATCTCTCTTCAAGGACTGGCTCTCCATAATCAAATTTGCGTCACTGCTTTGTGTGCTATGAAGGAAAGCATGGTGATCCATCCGTCCATTCATGACAGAGTGAAAGAGGATGCTGGTACTGTCACTGCAGAATGAAATTGGGAGAGCGTCTGGATTTGAAATGTATAAAACAATGGCCCCCCATTCGATGCAGCAGCTGCAGCCTGTGCGACCTCTCTAGAAAATGTATCAGGGATTGATCTCAGGGGATGAGAGCACAGAGGTATATGTGAGACAGTCCAGTGAGGAGTGGCTTCACATGTCCTGAATGAGACAAACATCAGCGAGAGGAAGATGAGCAGAGCTACACGAACTCATGAATCTGGTACAACTTCATTTAATTTTCTGTGTTCATCGACTGAACTGGAATCTTTGTTTGACCAAGGTCACCTCTGCGTCGCACTGGGCTATTAGTGATGATGGCAGACACCAATCTCTCTGGTCACATGACCATGTACTCTGAGCAACAAACAAGATAAACACTTCAGCATCAGCTAAGCCCTTCACAGAAGCATTTCTATAAATACAGCAGAATGTACAACTGTAAGATTAGAGATAACCTCCCTGCTCACATGTTCAGTGTTACATTATTCTGATATACTGTAAATAATGTAATGAAAATGGCAATCATATAATCATGTTTTACTGTCATGGTTGGTGGGAGTGTGCGGAGGTTTGTGTTTCGGCTCTGATCATAACTGATGTTTCTGACATGATGCCTGAGACAGAGATGCTCACAAGTCTTTGAGCTAGAGTCCAAGTCAAGTCTCAAGTCTCTGAGCTAGAGTCCAAATCAAGTCTCAAGTCTCTGAGCTAGAGTCCAAATCAAGTCTAAAGTCTCTGAGCAAGAGTCCAAATTATGTCTCAAGTCTCTGAGCAAGAGTCCAAATTATGTCTCAAGTCTCTGAGCTAGAGTCCAGCTGATACTAACGGTTCCGAGCAAGCTCATGTAGTATCCAATATTTGTGCATTTGACTCATAACAGTTCAAAATAGCACTGTAGCAGCAGGACAGAGGGTCAGTGGCCCCCTATGGGGAGAGCAGTGATTGGTGGTTATGTAGGGACTGAACCCTTCTATAGAATTTGACCTCTAACCCCTTGTTTTGTTACCTCAGAATAGTACTGTACCCTTCTATGGGTTTGACCTTTTATTTTGCAGACACCCTTCTCTGGTACCTAACAGATACCTAAACATGTCCTATATAAGCTGTGTTTGATGTACAGAGAGACAGAGTGGCCATCGGGCTGGGTCTCTCTCCAAGCTGCTGCAGAGCTTGCAATTGATGCTGAACTCCTTGATTTGATAAACTTTTATGATCAAGAACAGTGTCAAGCAGATTTCTTCTCAACACATCATCGCAGCATTATTGTTCGGACACCACACTCATCAGATGTTTCCTAAAAATAAACATTGTTCACGAGTCCCGCACTTCGAGTCCGAGTCGAGTCTGAAGTCTTTCAAAGACTTGTCTCGAGTCTGAAGTCTCTGTGTGTGCGACTTAAGTCGGACTCGAGTCCGAGTCTCAAACCCTGATCAACCATGTGTTAAAAAACTCACCATGGTTGACTTCTTAGCATCTGTGTTCCTGAGACAGTATCCGACTCAGTATGATGGTTTGAGAGAAACCTCCAGGAGGTTCTGTGGAGCCGAAACAGGTCCTGGTTTGGATTTGAAGTGCTTCCACTGTCCCTGTTGAGCTCACCTGCCTTTGTCCCTGCCTCTCAGGTGTACTTCAAGCGGGACGGCGAGCTTATTGATGTGGTGCCAAGTGCCCAGACACCTGCCTCAGAGGAAGACCAAAGCAAGGTCCCAGGTCAAGAAAAGAGCAGGGGCAGGAGCCAGGTGAGGCCCCGGGGTTCCCAGGCTCTCACCAGTCGAGACCTTGACGACACCAAACTCCAGAAGTCCCTGCTGGAACAAGAGGGGAAGCTGGCTCGGCTGGGCCAAGACGGCCCTGAAGGGCCCCAACAGGGCCAAGAGCAAGTGTCCGAGTCGGACTCCGAGCCAACCACTGAGGTGATCCCGGAGACGGTGGTGAGCCGGGAGTTTCCCCGCTGGGTCCAGAGCAGCGACCCGCTCTACTACTTCCAGCATCAGCAGCAGGCGTCAGGTGACGGCACCATGGAGGTGAGAGCCATGCTGACCTGGAGCCTCAACCCCCAGCTGGACAACGAGGCCCTGTTCAGCTGTGAGGTCAACCACCCAGCACTGTCCATGCCCATGCAGGCCGAGGTCACTCTGAGTGAGTCACGCTCCCGCTCTCTGAATCCACTCACATCTGGTTTAAGGTCTGGCTTTTAATGAGTACAGAAGAGAACCTCTGCTGTCGACTCTTCTCTACTGATACTGGTCAGTTCATGTTCTGGTCTCAGACAGTACAGGAGACCCTTGAGGCTCTGATATGTAAGGCAAGGATCAGGAGACAAGCAGAGAAAAACAAAGACGTCAGTAGCCTTGCTAGCTTGTCTACTACCCTTTACTGTAAGACGAATATCAGTTCAGTTCAGTTCAGCTTGTTAATCAATGTGCTGCCTTCTGTAGTCTTTCACCTGGATTCACTTTGACAAAGCAAAACTAAACAAAGACAGCCTCCCTCCAAAATGTGACATCACCTTCATGAACCAGTTCTTTTGCCTAATCATAAGCTATCAGACATGTCATGTGACCCTCACCTCGCACATTGTAGAAGTCCCTGTACTCACTCAAGTGACTCGTTGCAGTTTGACTGATTGAGTTTTTATTAGCATTAATGATTGCAGAGTCTCTCTCTCTCTCTCTCTCTCTCTCTCTCTCTCTCTGTCTCTGTCTCTGTCTCTGTCTCTGTGTGTGTGTGTGTGTGTGTGTGTGTGTGTGTGTGTGTATATATATATATATATGAGGTGGACTGTAGATGTACCAAAGCAACATGTAAGACTTAAAAAACTTCCTGACATATGTGATTGGAGCAGGAAAGGAAAGAGGCGGGGTTTAGGGTCAGTCAGTCCCTTTTTCAACACAATTATTCAGATCAATAATAACAATAAAGATGCAGAATATTCTGAAGTCAGACGCACCCCGGAGTCCTGACAAAATTAGGAGCTAATGAGATGTATGAGAGCTGCTGAGATTCAAATTTCAACACGAATTCAGAGCTGCGAAGAATGAACAAGTCACTGAGTTCATTCATTCAAAGAGAAGTCAGAACAAGAACCAGAAAGTGGGTCATCCCGAGCCTTCAGCACAGTTTGTTCCGCCTCACCTCAGCTGGTTTATGTCATAAAAGGAGGCGGACATGGTCCCGGAACAGGTAGGTACATCCTGGACGTGTAGGTAGCCACATTTAGGGAACAGGTACTATTAGGACTTTATTATTCACACATCTGAGAGCTGTGTGTTGTCTCACTGTGCAACAGTCCAACATGGTATTTTACTTTTCTACCAGCTGCTCCCAGAGGACCCAAGCTGTCCATGAGTCCCAGCAAGGCCAAGGTGGGAGACACAGTGCGGATCACAGTCCAGGGCTTCCAGCTGGGACCTTCTGCAGTGAGTTTCCAACACACAGTGGGCCGGTGGGTGGGGGCAGTGCCAAAGACACAGACATTATAAAAAAGGCCTCTTTTCAAAGTGTACCACAAATTTTTGAATTGAGTTCCTCCCTTCCAGGCAGCAATTGGTTTCAGTTCCTGTCTGCCCTCTTGCAGAGACTTGTCATGTGACACAGGGGAGCTGTTGGAAGCAGGGACAATGTAAAACTCCCCAAACCGGCTCTTTCAAGGAACAGGGTTTGTGAGGTACTATTACAATACAATGTGTGAGTGCAGTCGTATTTACATAATCAAGCATGAGACATCCGACTGCTCGGGTTCCTCTGCATTGTTCCGTTACTACACCTTTCTGTCCGGCACTGAACGCGTCTTAAGGCCCATGCTTCACCTGTCCAGAGTCTTTCCCTGAGCCTTTGGAGCTGAGGTGATGTTATTCAGGTGTAAACAGATGTGTTATTTTTGCCTCCTAAAGAGAGCAGGGAGGTGCAGCAGTCTGCAGCAGAGCTCTTGGAGGATGGGGAGGGAGTTTGCCCAAGGACGCGATCACTGTTATGATAATAATGCTGTTCCATAACACGTTTAGATGCAAATCACTCCCTCTGTAACAAATACATCTGTTTCCTGGAATATTCCTGAAATCCCAGTCCAGTCTCTTCCTGTCACTGGTTCCAGGCCTGCCGGACTGTGTGCATGACACTCAGCGGACGCACATCACGCTGCTGAATGCACTCTTTCCTCGCTGCTCAAGGTTTCTGCCTGTTAAAGAGTTTGTCCTTGCCTGTGTGGCAAAGTGTTGCTAGTGGTGGGAACTGTTGGGTCACTGAAAATAATAATAAATAAATAATGAGAAGTGCAATGGGATAAGACGTGGTTCTTGTTCCAGGCCATGTTCTCTCAGCAGCGCATACACTGTGTGTATCTGTGTGTGTCCTCAGAGTGAGGTCTTCCCCGAGCCCATTTACACCTGGACCAAGGTGGGCGGGCCTCTGCTGGACGGCAGAGAGGAGCATAACGGGCGGGAACTCATCCTGGAGAGAGTTCCTGCTGAACTCAACGGGTCCATGTTCCGCTGCACGGCCCAGAATCCTCTGGGCTCCACAGACACTCACACCCGCCTCATCGTGTTCGGTCAGTCAGTCCGTCTGTCGTCCGTCTGTCGTTTGTTCAGCGCGCTCACAGTAAAAGTCTTTTATGTTGTGTGATCTTCCAGACAACCCAAGACTGAAGAAAGGAAAGGAACATTTTAACGGTAGGTCTTTCAGGTGCTGTTACTATGGAACCACAGGAGTCTGGTCCCTTCTTTTGTAACGTTACAGCGCCAACATTTATTTTATTTCTAAATAATAATGTCACATTTCATGACAGCGGTGTCTTTGTCCTCAGCCAATCACAGCGAGCTCAAAAATTGCTACCAGAAATAGTCGGTTAGCACCCTGCTGCTGTAAACAAACACAGAAACTAACGTCTTTTATTTATTTAGCTAGATAAGGCTGCTCAGCTAGTTAGGTGGGGTTGTGAGCTTGGTTTATTACTCAACATCAAAATGAAGAGCAGAAGATATACTTGTTTATCGTCTGCATACAAATGACAAGATGCATTATCATCATTATTAAGACTCTAAGAACAGGACCCAGAATCGACCCTTGAGGCACACTGCAGAGGCCAGTTTTTGACGAGGGTTTAAAACCACCCTCTTAACTCTACTAGTAAAACATTTATTTCAATGGAAACGGTGGTGCTTTGTACTTGCTGTTTTAATACGGCTGCATTTACATACTTATTGCACTTAACGTTAACCCCTCACCTGCCGTAGAATAATAACGATGGAGTTAAAACTCAGCCCCAAGATAAACAGTTTAAGTTTTCGTTCAGTGTTTCTCAAAAAATGTTTTAAATCCTATTTTACATCCATGTTGACCTAAGTTTTTCTTCGCTGCCTTTATTGGAGCATCATCGTATTTCTCTGGACATTACTGCCACCATCACATCAGTGGAGTAGCGTGTCACCATCAGCAGAATCGGAACTCTTATATTTGGTTGCTCCCGAAGACGTCAATCTTTAAACTCCTCAAATATATAGTTTCATATTTAAAGAGTAAAACCTCAAAAAACTGCTCGCTGTAGTTTCTATCAGACGGACAGGAGGAAATAGAGCGTCTGTTCTATTTTCAGCTGAGCACAGAAGATTTGTTGATGATACAAATATAGAATATAGATTTATCCTTAAACGGGAAGTTCTTTTCTGCGGAGTTGAAACTGTTCCTGTCTTATTTGTGTGCAGCCATTGACTCAGGGGCCACTCATCTCTGGTTCCCCTTCACCTCCATGTTGCTGCTGCTGAGCTTCACCTGCAAGCTGACGTGATCCTAGGCTCTGCTGCTCCTCCACACACACCACCACCCACATCTACCTGAGGCACCTGCTCTTTAATGACCCCCGGGAACATCAAAAACTCCACCCAGCAGCAACACTCTGCTGGAACGTTACAGGTGCGGCAGGACCAGGATCAGGTCCAGATGCTGTAACGAGCCGTCACATTGTGAGCTGCTGAAAGCCTCCTCTGCATCACACTGAGACTGTCTGCAGGGTTCACACTGGATCCCAGGGAATAATGGCAGTCCTGATAGGCCAGTCTGCACAGCCAGCTCTCACGCTGACAGACTTCACTGCAAGAAGCAATGCTACAGACATAAAGGCATCTCAGCTGCACATGAACAGATATGATCCCGAATCTGTGGAGGGCAGAAGGAGCTAGATGGAAGGGCCCTTGTAGGGCTGCAGACCCACAAGGTATCTATCGGTCAGGGCCGTTATTCTGTTGGATCTGGTCTCTGAGCTGGTTTGTTTGGGTCTCCTCTTTGCCCCAGTCTACATGGTCTATGAAGTCTCCCCATTACTGACAGTGTTTCACCTGCTGAGTGATGGAGCTCTCTGTTCAGAATCTTACTGGAAATGTTAAAAGTTCCTGATTATCCCCAACTGTTTATTCAGAGTAGAACTCTAAGTACTACATTATGTTACCTTTTATATCTGTTTGAATCAGACTGAGAGTCTTCAGCCATGCAGATGTGAGGCTGTGAGAAGGGTCCAACTGGGGCCTCACGTCTGGGGGGGCCCAGGTCTGCGAGCCAACATGCAGAGAGTACAGTCCCTACACCTGAGGTCAGCTGTCCTTATAAACAAATAAAAATGTATTTTCCAGATTTGAAAATGTTCTCTGCTCAAGGCTTTCTGTAGTGTTGAATTAAAGTTTGTGTCCAGCTGAATATGCTCTCCTGTCAGCTGTGAAAGAAATGCTGTTACATAAAGTGCAGGAGATGTTAGCCTGCCGGAGAGGCTACCTGTTGCTGTTCCTATAAAACCAAGTGAAACACAGTGTAATGAACAACCTCAGGATTTATTGTAGTGAAAAGCATCATGACTCAAACAGGTGTACAGCAGTGTGCACCTGGGCTGGGGAAGTCTGGGGAGAAGCGCTCTACACGGTGAGGGGTGTAGTTGTGGAGCTTTATTTGAAGCAGTCCATGTGAATGTTACTTTACAGGATCACAGAGTCCACCGGCTCTCCGTCCCGGACTCCACCCTCCTCTCAACACACAACTCAAACTCTGACACCAAACCCAAAGCTCAGAATCCACCAGAGTAAAGTCTGGTGAGGAGGACACCTGGCTCATTAAAAAGAAAAGCAGAGACACATCAGACCTGGAGGTGTGACTGTACAAGGCAGAGAGACAGGCAGCTCCAGTGTGCGAGGCGGGGGCCTGCAGAACCCCCCTCTCTCACTTAGTGTCTCTTGTACACAAAACAGAGTTGTAAAGGCAGTTAGTTTCATTTCACATCATAGCTGTTCTTCTCCATACTTAGAATTCTTACAGTATGTACACTACTGTATAGGACTGTGTGGTTCTATTTACATCTCTATTCACAAACAGAAAGGACGCCTGCTGCGTTTAAACACTGTTTCCACATGTACAAACTAACACTGCCTTGCATATGTGTCATGTACACGTATGTGCTCTTTCAAAACATCAGGTCATGTGACTAAACCGGGTGTCTGACTCTTCCCTTTTCTGCAGTCTGTCAAACACGTTAAAATACACAAACCAATAAAAGGACTGAAGAACAGGAAGGTGATCAGGACTCCAGCAGTAAGTAGTCCTCGTTCTCAGTGGCAGGCAGCATGAGCTGCTGCTCGTAGTACAGGCTCTTGGCATAGTTGATCTCCTGAGAGATTTTGATGGCGAGACTCTCGCTCTTCACGTGGACCTGCAGAGAGGAAGATGCAAGATAAAAACAGTGAAATTAGTGCTGGGGCGTGAGCATCATTAACATGTACAATGTGCTACATGACCCCCACAGTCCTGATCCTGGAAGTCCTGGAGTCCCCTGTTGGACTGTAAAACTTCAGCTTCTTTCATTGACTCTATTAAAGACAACACTCTTCTCCATTTAAGCATGGCTTCTGAGTTCCGGACTTCTGCAGGTGTGTCCTCCATACTGCATAATATATTTAGGAAACTGATTTATTGATTTTTTTTTCAGGTCCAAACTGCCAGTTAGTAACACATGTGTTCTTACTATCTTAGACGGGATCAGGTCTCTGCATATAAACACTGTAAGATATGGTAAGATGATAGGCTCTCTTTTGAAACACATGTCACAGAATTGGGAAAAGAGATTAAAAAAAAAATCAAGTTGGGCTTCCTTTAGGGAACCAGACTGTTGTCAGCAAACAGGAAAGAAGTGTTCAGGCTACTATTATGTCAGCCTTAGATTTTGGGGATATTATCTATACGCACGCTTCATTAAAACCACTGGATGTTATTCACCACAGTGCACTCATCAGGTGTAAGCAACATGCATCATCCCCAATTCCCACTAAAGAATAAATATAAACACAAGATCACAGACATGGATTACTCCAGAGACTCCAGCGGAGTCAGCCATGACTGCTTTCAGTTTCTTTGCTCCATATTTATGGAACAAACTGTCGACCAAACTCAGGTTAAACACTCTGGTGTCTCCTACCCAGTTTAGAAATGTTATGAAGACTGAGTGTAGAATTCTTCACAGACTTCAGTGCGCACCTCAACTCCTCAACTTTATCAACCCAAAGATCTCTCTTTAACAACAATATAAACAAGGAGCCTGGTTTGTTTGTGTTGAATATTGTTAATGAGGACTTCTGTATGACCTACATGCAGGGAAAACTTTTGTTTAAACTCCTTCTCCTGGCAAGGAGGTGTGTTTTATTTAAGTGGATTAAGCCTAGGCCTCCTACTACACCAGTGGCATGGGGAGATTTTCAAAGCTGTACCAGTGGAGCGACTGAAGGGCAATGAAAGCTGCTTTGATGGCTGTGGCAACCCTTTCCTCACTATTTCACACTCAGTGTTTCAGATATTTCACAAAGAGGGCGCCACGCCCTCGTCTGGAATCCTCCTGGTGGCCCTTAGAGAGGAAAAGACTCCTGTCTGTTTTCCCTCTTCACATTGCTTTCATTTGTTTTTATTTTAACCCCCATTCCAGAATATCTTCTATGTACTTATCCATGATATGATGTTGGCTTGATACTGTCCATTGTTTCTTTTTGTTGTCTGTCTGTTTCCTTGAAAAACTCAATAAAATGTTTAATTAAAAAAAAGAAAAAGAAATGTTATGGAGAATCATTATGATGTGGTATGCAATTGTTTTAATATTTTTTAAATATTCACTTGTTTGTGAGTCTACTGAACATATTAACATCTGCTTTCCGTTTTAAAATTATACTAAAATAATTTCACTATGTGCTGAGTGCTTGCAGACAGGATCACCGCTGCAGGTCCTATGGAACCTGCTGACAGGCTGTAGAAGTGAATCAGTGAAGTAGAACAGACTAAACATTTGTGTGGAGCTAGAGAGGAGGCAGACGGAGTCTCACCATGGGTTTCTGGTGGGAGGGGCCAGGTATGGCCACACCGCTGCTGGTGCTCTCAGCCTTCTTGGTGAGCTGCACATACACCTTCCCGCGATCCTTTGAGACCAGGCAGTGATAAAGGTCATCGTACTTGACCTCAAGGAAGATGGCCTCGCGGTCCACGTAGTCCCCCGGCTTCAGGAAGTAGACCACTTTGGAGGAGATGAGGACGCAGTAGCTGTCGATGGGCTCCACAGCGATGAAGCTGGAAGGAGAAACAGGACCAGGAGTGAGACACGGGGTGGGAACAGGGAGTCAGACAGGGGAGTCGAACACAGTGCGTGAAGGAGGGAGACTCACAATTCAGAGTGGACATTGTCCGTGAGGCGGAAGAGCTGCTCCTGACCATCAGACTGAGCGGCAGAGTGTCGAGGCAGCAGACCCTGAGGACCCTTACAGCAGCGAGGCTTCCTGACACGCTGCACGCCGAGCCTGAACCGCAAGACACAAACAGACACACACACACTTCCTGTTTAAGCACCGATCAGGACTTCATAGTACTTTGAAGCATTATTAACACTACAATCTCTAACCAGTATATCAACAAGCAGTAAAAGCTTAAAAACACAAGATTATAACTGATATCATTCTTATATCCATGTTGATGAGTTTGTGTTTTGAGAAATACAAACTTTTTTTTTTAAATAAGTGGCGACTTTCCTAAAAAAAACAAGGAGACCGTTTTAATCATAGGTGTCATTTACACTGGGACATGTCCCCACCACTTTTTGAAAGCATTTGTAAAAAAAAAATAAAATAAAGAAAAAAGAAAAAAAATCTGAAAAGTGGCTTGCAACGTTTATTTGCACAACAAAAACTGAATAAGAAATGCAATGTAATATAGAAGAAACAGATCTGCTCCATATATATATATATATATATATATATATATATATATATATATATATATATATATATATATATATATATATATATATATATATATATATATATATATATATATATATATATATATATATATATATATATATATATATATATATATATATATTATTTTTTTTTTTTATTTTGTGTTTCCCTCTATATAAATAAAGACATTCCCACCATAAATGTCTCCAGAATTCAGGACATTAAGTGTTTAATGCTCAAAATCTTCTGGGGGAGGACCCCCAAAGCCCCAAATCGTATATTTCATCAATGACTATTTAGTCTAAATGGATTTATAATATATTCTTGTGACACAAAGTTGTGCATCATTATGTCTCATGGCCTAAGTGTTTAGTCCAACCCCTAATCTGAGCCCTTAAATTTCCCCACCACTTTTCAACACAAAATGATGCCCTTGGTTTTAATAAACATATGTCATGTTAGTCATGATATGTTCATGGTCAGTGTTTACAAATCATGAAAATGGTGATGGTGCATAGATAAGATGCTTGCCTTTGGTGTAGGAGACCTGGGTTCCATTCCCACTGTGAAACATCCACCATTGTGTCCCTGAGCAAGACACTTAACCCCTAGTTGCTCCAGAGGCGTGCGACCTCTGACATGTACAGCAATTGTAAGTCGCTTTGGATAAAAGCGTCAGCTAAATGAATAAATGTAAATGTAAA